GGTAAATAACCACCCTTCTTTATAAGGAAGATATGTACTTGTACATATAAAGGCATTTTTAAGATGGCTCAGGTGTTGTTCGTGTGCTGCATGCCAAAGCAGCCGGCAAACCAGCGATACCGAGAGCTGCAAGGTGAAAACGAAATGACGTGGGTGAGTCGCTGATGATGAAAAATGCGACAATGAAAATAATACCAGTGTCAGTATGTCACATGCCACATGCTATAATGCTTACGAGACTCAATGCAACACATATACATACACATATATTAACAAATATAACTACTATAATTTCGACTACACCCCCATAATGCAATGATGTCGACTTTTGGTGACCAACCACCCGAGGGCAAGCGTTGCTTTGGCGAACGAACTTCAAGGCGCCACTTGACTGCCTTTGAAACAATACCAAGGTAAACAGGACATTTTCACTTTGTAGTGGCGGGGACGGCGGTGGCCAATTGATGTGAGCGCTGGTGTGGGTGTCGTTTATGGCTCGCTGTTTCGAGTACTGCAGTGTCTCACATTTCAGTGCCAGCAGCCGGAGCACAGCTTAATGTCGCGGCGTTGCCAAAGTGGCATGTGGCGTGCCAGAGGATATCTGCTTGCCGCTGCTGCTGCTGCTGTAAGTGTGAAAAAGTTTAAGTGGCTTCGTAAAGCCCACGGATTTATCGCGTTGGCTTGCAACTTTAGTTGCCATCCTGCCATTTTCTTTTCTCCCAACATTCTTTTCGCTTCGCTGCTCATCCCATAGATAATTCAGTCACCCTTGTCTGCCTACTTTTGCCGCCTCATAAAGTGTGAATTACTCGTACGTACATTTATTGTTGTAGGTAAATGTAACTTTTCACTATTTATATAACATGATTTTATTTTATTTTTTATCACTTTTTTCTTAAGGTAATGTAAATGGAATGTAGATCATATTGCACATTCTGGCCGCCATAATGAAGGTCGGATATACTTATGTTTCACAGTATTGTTAGTGTTCCGGCGTTTTTTCTTGTAATACAAAGTTGTTGTTTTGTGCTAAGTGTGAGTATTGTGTTCCAGTCATCTTACTCATATTGGCATATTGGGATACTCAATAAGCTGTGGGTTTAGTGGGGTGTGAAAACAATGCTCATGTAGTGGAAAATCTAGTAGAATTAAAAATATTTGAAAATTGGTAAAAATTTAATTTCTAGCATCAGAAAGCTTACGCTTGAGACGAGATTCAAAAAATTTCATCTATCAGCAGGGCCGGAAGTAATGGGATCTCTCAGTTCCCAGCTCATTAAGGAGTATATATATATGTATTTTTGTTGTAAAAATGAGCTCCATAAATTTTTTTTCACGAAAAGCTGCAAACAACAATAAATGAAAAGTATAAAGTTTGCATACGTAATAGTATAAAGAGGTAAGGATTAACCCAAAGCCAGACACACACACCGCTCCAAAATACGTCTAACGCATTTGCCGAATTCATACTAGACCTACTTCCACCTAGACTACAACATTATTGTCTTCCTTGCTTCTAAAAATGTCCTTTTATTTTCCACCAACACAATTTCTTTGCGAAACTTTCTGCAATTCACAACACCCACAGGTGGTAATGAGTTAGTGGAGAGGGAGATGACAAATGCAAAAAAGGTAGTTACTTTCGGGTATGCAGAAGAAAAAAAAAAAAAAATTGTGAAACTTTTTGGCATTTCAACGCGTCGCTTGGTAGCCAAATCCTCCACCGTAGCTCAAAATTCATTTGGCTAACACCTGACTCGCGAAATGCCTTCCGCTTCGTCTACTTTAACACTCTTTCCATCTATATCATTTATCCTTACCCACACTTTTTTACACATTTCCGCTTTTGTCAGTGGCTTCTGCAAGTGTGTGTGTCGCTGCATTGCGTCGTTGCAGTCTGCTGCCTTTTGCAACACTAACCGCTCTTTTGCGCTCCGGTTTGCCATTACGCCGGAATCCGAATTCAAACACTTTGCAAGCACACTACACATCGTAAAAGCTCAAAGTTTTCGCAAATGATAGCAATAAACAAATCCCATTATACACGGGGTATCAAAATACTATTTTCATACGTGAGCGGACTTTTTAAAAAATCGTTAGTTGCAAGCGCTATATGTGCGGCACCCAACAAACATACAGACAAACAAATAAATTTATGCTTTTTGCTACATACAAACTGAGTTTGAATGAATTTGCTGTCGTTGTTGTTGTTGTTGTTGGTTTTCGTATTGTTATGGCACTGGAAAAGTTTGCGGGGGTGTCAGTGTCAGTGCCAATGTCTGCTGTCGGCTTTTTGTTGCAGATTTTTTTTATTACTTTTCATACGATTATAAAGTTTTTTTGAGGGGCTGCTAACGCAGTTATGCTTTTTGTGGTGCGAGAGTTTTTCTTTCTTTTGCGTGTGTTGGTAACATATGCGCCTGTATTGTGCTTTGCCAGATCGTTAATTTTTGGCTACAATTTTATGCGGCAACTAAATAATGCTTGAAACACGTGACAATTTTTTGCACAAATGAAGGTAATTTTAATTTAGTTTTAGAATTGAAGTTGTGCAAAACTGTGAAATATCTATGAAAATGTTTTCTCAAAATTTTGAGTCAATGGGATGTGATATACTACAAAATATATACAAAAAATATATAAATTTAAATAAAATACAATTTTCGACAAAAAAAAAATCCAATAAAAATAAAAGTAGCAGTGGATACTACTTCAAAACTCGTTTCAAACACTACAATTTAATGACCACAAAGACACATATTTTTTTTTATAAATCAGAATTTAATACATAATAGTTCATAATTTTTCTGCTATTGCATCAGCTTTTTCATCAAATTTGATCTCTTCTAAATTCATTTGTAGAGTTTTTTTTTCATAATTTTTCTGCTATTGCATCAGCTTTTTCATCAAATTTGATCTCTTCTAAATTCATTTGTAGAGTTTTTTTAAACTCATTAAAAAGTTTAAGTACTTTTTTATGAAAATGTTATTATCATAGACTTTTTGTTGGTAAATCATAATTTCGTGCAACTTGATGAAAATGTATTCAATAACGAGTTGTTAGCGTTAAAAATGGAAGTTTTTGTTACAAAGTTCATTGCTAAAAAACATTTGGGTACAAAAATATTATTGTCAAATCTTAAAAAAAAAACTCTATTTAGTGGCACAACTATAGTGATAAAATTTAAATTTTAAAATTTTAAGAGCAAATCTTTACATACTTATTTTAAGAATACAAAGAAAAATTTTTGAAAAAATATTAAATATTTTTCGAGTTACACGCGATTTACAACGAAGCTTAAAAAAGGACCTCCACTGCTGCAGTGATTCCGGTGGAAACCTAAAACAATATCTCTTGAAGATATTATACGTAAAATGCCCTAGTGTCGAAAAAATTGACAAATTAGTAGAGTCTTTTTGTTAAAATTGAATTCAAAATTAAAATAATCTTAATTATTTATGTAATATGATGCAGTTATACAAAATAAGTTTCATACTTGTACATATTAATAAATATGTATACGGCGTAATACTTTATATCATGTTAAAAAAGTCAGTCAACTAGCAAAAAATGTAAAAATATTATATATATCATAATTTTCATATCATTATATGCATTTAATTAAAACTTAATTTTCTTCTTTAAAAATTGATCGCATGATATTTAGATTTTCTAAAAAATTTATAACACATGCACGTTACATGCAATTAAAAGTGCATACACTCATATACATTCTCCATCCTTTATTCGCAAAGTTTGAAAAGCACAATTTCATCACACAGTTTGAAAGTCTTAACAACGTCACATACCAAAGCCTTTAAAACTGTGCATTGCATTTCAAGGTCTCTCAAACAATGCCAAAACAACGAAATGCATGCATGTACTTGCATAGAAGCGGTAAAATTAACTATTTGCTTTTAAAACAGAAAATTGATATTATATTTAACTTTATTCTGAAAATGACTTACCTAAAAACCACATATCATTTCATATTAAAGCGCATTTTGTCACTGTAATTCACGCATTTTGCTTATTACCGACGCCGCCAGTAGCACGCACATATTCGATCGCGTTATTCACACCCAAATTTTAAAGCCCGCACTTAATTTTTGCACTTATTTGGCGGAACATTACTTTAATTTCGATTTTATCACTAAAAACCCGCACTTGACACAATATTTTCTGATATTTTCACATTTTTCTACACTTAAGCCATTGCATGACCATGCTCAAACGCGTTTTTACATTGCGATTTTAACGCCCGCACTGCTTTTTTGCTATTAAATGGTTGCACACTATTTACACTTTCATTTTTTTTTAATAAAAACTTACACTTGCCACTATATTTTATAAAAATTTCACAGTTTTATTCAATTTTGCCAATTTAACAGCTCGTATTTGCATTCGCGTGAAGGAAACTGGCGAATAACGGATGTACGACGACAAAAGTGCGTAGATCGCTGAAAACAGGGTTGCTCGCAATTCGAAAAAGTTTAACACAAGTATTTAAACCAAAAATGTTAATTTAATAAAAAAATTCAAAAACAATATATGTAATTTAGTTAACTAAAGTCGTTGTAAGAATAAAAGTAATGGTGAATTTGAAAAATGTTTAAACTATGGTAATTATCAATTATTTATTTAGTCTTATAATATTTTATGAAGTATTATTTTATCAGTAAACTTTAAAAAATACGTTGATCATTAATATAAAAGATTATGTGCCGTGTTTCCTTATTAGCTCTGAGTGTTCGGAAATCTCTATTTTCCTTTATTTATTTATTAAAATTTTGTTATAAATATCTTTTACTTCGTCTCCATCCTGGTATCGGTTTTGTCGCCAAACTTTATTACTTCTGTTTTATTCCTTTTATTCCCTTAAATATAGATTATCATATTCTATAACCGGAGTGCATAAAGAAACACGATCATATTCAAATATTGTATGAACAAAATAGGCGTGGGAAAATTGTTGAGATATATCAGCAGTTAAATTTTTGTTTATTATTATTTGGAACAAATGTTTTTCAAATTTTTCATTTTATTTTAAATATTTTAAACTTTTTTAAAATCGACATACAACCATGCTTCCGTTAACGAATTGTATCTGCTCGTTAGTTTCCGCTGGGGTTAACTAAGGATTAGGTGTTTAGTCGCTGCTGCCAAGTGAAAATATTAAATTAGTGAATTAATATTGAAATAAATTATTTACTTTTGTTTTGAAATGAACCAGAAATCATTAGTTTTTAGAAATATATTAAATGTTGAAAGTTCGCAGTCTTTATTTGTTTATATTTCGCAAGTTAAAAGTGCATGCGCCTTCAATTGCTCTTGTGCGCACATACATACGCGTTTAGCCAGCGAGAGCAACGCGTTGTAATGACGGAGAGAAAAAAGAGTGTGCAATAAGAGAATGTAAGCGCACCGGGCAAACGCAGTAGCATTTGAAAATTAAGAGTAAATTCGTTGTTCGAAAATTCGTGCAAATTGGAATGATTAGCGAAGTAACGTGAAAATGTAAGCAACAGTTAATTAGTGAAGAAAATTTGCAAAAGTTTTAGCGGTGGCGTTGCAGTGACATTTTTTGCTGAATTTTCAATATTAAATTGTTAGCATTTTATGAAAAGTGTGTAAAAAGTGTTGTGCAAAGTGGACGTTTGCTTAATTGCAAGGAATTAGTTTGATTTAAATGAAATACACCAAATAATACAAGTAGAAAGTTAAGTGCGTGCAAAGCAGGTGTCGTCGTAAGTTGGTCGGTCAGTGTGTTTTCGCAAAAAGTGTGCGGTGCGAAGTCGCGGTGTTAATTTAATATTGGAAGTTGTTGAAAATGGTAATTTTTAATAATATGTGTTAATATTTCTATTAGCTTAATAATATTTGCTAATGTGTAAAGTTCATAGAAAATTAGCGCGTAGTAAAATTTTACAATTTTCTTCTACAACAATAACGCAAACAACTGTCGTGTTGCACGAAGAAGTACGAGCACCTGCTGTTGTTATATGAGTGTAATATGTGAATAAGTATGTGTGTATAAAACAAAAGTGATGTCCTAATATTATGGCTTTGAGCTATTTACATATGTATATATATAAAGGGTGTTTGAAAAAGTGTTCAAAAGTGAAAAGTGATGTATAGTTTTCTTAGAATATGGGTAATGCATATCTTTTGAAATTGAATGAACATAATTTAAATTATTTTTAAATAAGTGAGAAAGTGTTTAATAGTGAAAAGTGTTATTTAATTTTAATCACTGATAAGAGTTACCGACGGAAGAAATAATACTGCCGCTCATACTTCTTAAGGTAAGTCTATCATATAAAAAGTTATTAGGAAATATATTTTATTCTATTTTACTACTGTGATTACTAAATACTGTTTAGAAGAGCTTTGTGTTTAGTTTTATATTTTTCAATGAGCTCACGAATTGTTTTCTTTCTGAAGTTAATATAAATTTGAGACATATTTCCAAAAATTGTAAACAGTTTATTGTTTAGTCAAAAATATATTACATGACATAAATAACTTTTAAAGATAAACAATCATATTTATAAGTTTGTAGTAGATATTTCTTTAAAAAATTATATATTTTAGTTAATATTATATTTACTTGATGATAAATTATGCAGCTTTTTCGCGTCAAAAATGTAAAAATTTACTATCAATATTTATTTAACATATTCTTTCGAAGCATAGCTGATTTCAAAACTATAAATATATAGATATTTCAAACACTGAAATATAAATAAAAAATGTGGAATGCATTTTTACTTTTATGAAATATTTAAATGATATAAAAATCACAATGCAATAAAAAAAATTCGGGTATTTAAGTCTGACCAAAAGGTAAACATTACAATTTTCGACTTAGGCTTCTGATTTAAAAAAATATGAAAATTTTTTATATAAGAAAAAACAATAGTTTTTAAGGGGTTAGGGGTAGTCAAAGGCACGAAAAAATTAGAATTTTCAGTAAGTTTTTTTGCTATCAAATTATGTTATTTTACAAAAGTAGTAATATGGCATTATTATACAATATTTTGACTTGAAGTCACGAAAGTTTCAAAAAAATTTTTTTTTCTAAAGTTATAGCTGTCTGTGTTGACCCAGTCAAGCCCAAAAAAAAGGTCCTTGTGGTAACAATCATAAGTCCTTGGAGATTCATCTAAAATCAATCGGATAGAAAATATTAGTTTTATAAATAGATAATCCTGGCCCTGTTTGAAGAAAATTAACAAAATGGCGGCCTCAGAAAATTTTTTTCTAGCTTTTTGTGAAAAAATCAATCGCATAAAAAAATTAGTTTTATAAATAGATAATCTTGGACCTGATCAAAGCTTTTTTTCTTTCAAAATTAACAAAATGGCGGCCTCAGGAAGTTTTTTTTCTAGATTTTTGGGAAAAAATCAACAAATCATCATTGGTCTCAAAAAATCTAAATTTTTGAAAAAAATCTTTCGATCAGTCTCGAATTTATTATGTATTCTAAAAGCTGTATAAATTTCATTAAGATCTACTGAGCGGTTTTCGAGTTACAGTGGTCACCAGTTCAAAAAACATAGTTTTGAGAAAAGCGCATTTAAAGTTTCACACTAGAGCTCTCGAGCGCTTTGAAGTGCCCGAGCGCTCTTTGTTATTTGTCGAGTAACTCAAAAAGTGATTATCTTGAAATTTTCAGAGAATACACTTAACGAAAATGCAAAAAAAAAAATATACTGTTTGAAAATTCTGACTACCCCTAACCCCTTAAAAAGAGAGTTGAGAATTCATATTTTTTCCGCTAAGTCTTGTGCCTACTTAGGCTGTGGCAACAACATAACCTCAAAATTAAATGATTCTGGCTGAATGGAACCAAAAAATAAGCCGAGTAACTTATTAAAATTTGAGAATTTATAAATAAATTGGGTCTTATAATGGTGAAAGAAAATAATTGAAAAATTTAACATAACCTCAAAATGAGTTTAGTGCAGTGGTAAAATCAGAAAGAGTAATTTTTGACAGAATTTTAATTAAATGTGGGAAAATAAAAAAAGGGCTATGTAAGGACAAACCTTTAATAAATAAAATTGGGGATTAAAATGTTGTCAAACACTTGTTGTATAACAATACAAAACCGTTAAATTAGATAACCGTAAGCAAATGTGCGTGTATATTCTAATACAGAGCTTAAGCGGTTTAAATACAAAGCTAAAATCCTTTAGTAATGTGGAAAAAGTGCTATCACCAAATAAAAATGTCAACAAACGCATAAAACAAATCGTTCAAGTAGGTGAAGGAAGGCTAAGCTGCTAAAGCATGTGGCAGGAGCGAGTATGGGAAGCGAAGTTTAATAAAACTGTGGAGTAGGCTTGACGTTGGCACACTAAATTGGCGGCAGTCGCGGGGTAATAAATGAGCAAATAGCGCTTTTACATGCAGACATACTCATACATACCAACACTTATATGTATACACTTATACTTATACATACATGTACATTTGCATATGCTAAATTTAACGAAACACTTTCGACATATGTACTCACGCACATTTCTGGCCATTAAACACGCATTCCACGGCTTAAACGCGCAGTTAGAACATACTGAAGTGGAATATGTCTGCAGCGCAGGAGTAAACATTATAATATAACTGTATATATGTAGAGAAATATGCGCGCTTTACGAAAATACTACACTTTGCCACACGCGTCAAAGCAATTTCGGGAGAGGACATTCAGTCTGCGGCCAAGACCTTTCACTTTCGCAAGCAAATCAGACTTGAAGGCGCCACTGCAACCCGCTAAGCGTTCAGCCCAAAGTAGCTGCCAGCTAGCTATTGTAGAAAAGTTAATGAGCATATTTGTATGTATGCGTGTGTGGATGCTTATGTGTGTGTGAGTTGAATTTAAATTCGCTTACCGCCTCACATTTATCGGCGACCCTTATGCGCTCAAGCACGCAGCTCTTATGCAATGAAATATATACATACATATGTATATGTATGTGTATTAGTGTTGGGTGGTGATTTGTGCACAGCTGTGGTTGTGTGTGTGTGCGCGCCGCGAATGCATGTTGTTGTGGCTCATTTACGTTTAATGAGATAATCCGCCAGCCAACAATTCATGGCAGTAGTAGTAAGTGCCAGCGAAGGATAGCGCAGCTTCGTGTGTGTTTGCTTAGCCAGCCGCCATGCGCTGCATAAAAGCTCACAAGCTTAACAGTTCAGCGGACGTTGCTTTGGCAGCTTTCACTTCGGCTGCTCGCTTGTCTGTCATTTCAGCTCTTTTGCATAATTGAAGCATCACTAACCAAGAAGCAGTTGATTGCCGTTGGTGACTGAATGAGCCTCACGCATACATACATACTTATATTTGTGTGCAGAGTTAGGTATGTGTTTATCTTGATTATAGCTAGTGTTAGCTAGGTACATACTTGCCATTTGCGTTGAATATGTTGCTATAAAGTTCGGCTGCAATGCGCTCGCTGGTTTTATAATGTGCAATAAATGAGGCATGTTAGACGATTTATTTGATAGCCTTCTCTACAACGCGTTTGGCAACACTAGCGCTCCTAGCGCAAATAAACAAATTTTTAACATCTGTTTCACTGCAATGTGCTTTTAGAGGTATTACTAAGCGCTCAGTTCTTCCCGCTGTTCTCATTTAAAGTTTCTCTTTGCGTGGGTTATCAATTACTTGCAGCAGTGTGAGGTTGGCGCGAACCAAAAAAAAAACTTATTAATGTCTTTATTACGTGTTCGTGACATCTTTTTCTGCATATGGCGGTGAAATTACTCCTCCGAACAAGTGCGTCAAATATAAATCATCATTATGGTTTATATTAAAAGTAGATGAGGATCAGTAATGAGAGTTTTATTTGGTTGTACATAAACGTTAATATGTAAATATGATTCGTTACATAATAGAGTGCTTAATATAAAATTGGACACTTATTTTGAATTCCTAAAAGTTTCAATATCTGACTAAGAGGTTAAAAGTAGAACTCCTAATAGGAAATACTCATTAAAGCTTTCGCGGTACATAAGATTTGCACAGACTCTAAATTACATAATCTGGTCATTCTCTTCACTACATTTATTAGCAATTTATTGGCTCGTTTTTATCGAAATGGTCGCATTAATGTTCCTCTAGTTACAACAAAACACATATTCTTAGACATGTCCCACCCGGATGATGGCGCGTACCTAGTGTGAAATTTTGAGCTAACCGATTTTCATATTTCTATAGTTTATACCTTTAAAAATGACATACTAAAATTTCAATTCGTTATCTCAAATAGTTTTTGAGTTACAGTCATTTAAAGAGTAGCTGCTGAGTTCAATCCGGTCCTCTTTTATTAGGACCACCGGAGATCGCATTTAAATCAAAAAATATTTAACTTACAATATTTTACTGTGTATTCTTGAAACATAAAATATATAATACAATATATAAATATACCCTGAAAATTTCAAACATCGATACAGTATTTTTTTTTGTAGATTCGTAAAAATCGACGTTTCTTAGGCTGTCACACTAGCTGTGCCCCTTAATCTTATCAGGCAAACCCAGAACACAAAAAAATTTTAAGTTTTAAATATTGACAAATCTAGATACTAGTCCTGAGTCAGTAGCTAATAATATGTTTTTAATAATTCCAAGATTTGGAAATAATAGCACTTATACTTCATGGAATCCATTTGAATACAAAAGAGTTAATAATATTTTTTTCAGTTTTCTTCTACTTTACTTCTTTGTTTATTGTTTGGCTTTACTAGGGTGATAAATTTCTTCAATCCATGAAATAATATAGGTTTTGTGGCAAAGTATAATAAACTAGTGTCGACGAATTTTGATTTTTCGGTATTCCCGATAAGGCACGTATTAATTATCTCACCAGGTATTGTTAGAAGGATTTGTCACTCAATTAAAATACTTGCAATAACTACCATTGATCCACCAGAAATATAGAAAATCTCCGTCAAAAGCATATACATATAAGAGGTTGTTCCCAGGCATTAGGTTGATGGATTTTGCACGAAGTTATTTTTACGTCAATAATGTACTCCGTAGATTGACTTTCATTATGTCTTTATCAGCTTGCAGGACATTATCTCAGTGAATAATTTTTCCCATAGTTTAAGATTGCTCTGTGCAGTTTTCTTGATGTCAGAACTATTTGAAAAAAGCTTCGCTATACTTGTATATTTCATTCAAGAAAGCTAGTTAGAAATGGGTGAATGAACGCTTTCTTCGATAATGTTAACCAAAGCCCTAGTTAGTTAGTTCAAAAGGTTCCAATAACTGTTTAAAGTTTTAGTATCATAA